AATAAAACCTTATGTTATCTTATTTTTACCAATATGAAAAATACGGTATTAAAAAATTCTGAAAAAATTCTCAAAATTTTATGAGAAGAAAATAAACAATTTTTGTCTCTTACAGTTTTTTTGTAAAGTTGATAGTATTTGAGTAAAAAATTATTGAAGACCAATTTTCGATAATTTTTAGTAATTAATATCTTATTAATTATTGCGAAAATTGTAAAATGGTACAGAACTTTTCTTCTCAGTTTAGTCCATTCTGCCCCTGTGCGAAAGATTTATCGTTACTTATCAAACACCCTATATGTCTTTTATAGATACTTTTGAAAATTTGTGATGAGAAAAAGATTCTCGAAAAGAAATCTATTCTTGCTGATCCACGATATTACTGTAACAGTAATAAAACCTACCTTATTCTGGGTGGACTGGGTGGTTTCGGATTGGAATTAGCTGACTGGTTGATACTCCGAGGTGCCAAAAACATAGTGTTGACATCAAGAACGGGAATAAAAAACGGTTACCAACGCATGAAAGTCGAGTTATGGAAATCTTATGGCGTGAACGTGCTTATCATCACAGGGGCAGACGCTTCGAATCGTAAGGATTGTGAATTTATACTAAATTCTGCAGAGAAACAGGGTCCAGTGGACGCCATCTTCAATCTTGCCGTGGTGCTAAAGGACTGCATCTGCAAGAACCAAACACCGGAATCATTCGACGAGTGTTTCAGAGCGAAAGCTTGGGCTACGAAAATGCTGGACGAGTTATCCAGAAAGTTGTGCCGGCAACTTCAGCAGTTCGTAGTTTTCTCTTCGGTTTCTTGCGGAAGAGGGAATGCTGGACAAACGAATTATGGTATGGCTAACTCTATAATGGAGAGAATTTGTGAGCGTAGAGCAGCGAACGGTCTGCCGGGACTGGCTATTCAATGGGGCGCGATAGGAGAAGTTGGTCTTACCACTAAATGGCATGACAACAACAAGGAGCTTGTCATTGGCGGTACTTTGCAGCAAATGGTATTTTCCTGCCTTGAGAAGCTGGAGATCTTCTTGTTGCAGAATCACCCAGTGGTATCTAGCATGGTGGTAGCGGAGAAGCATGCTTATGGAGCTGTCGACATTGTAGAGGCCGTAGCAAATATAATGAGTAAGATTGTTGTTATTTTAAGATAGTTTCATAGAACAAAATCGAAAGATTATATGCATTATGCAGATGAGGATATTAATTTTGTTTTTAAATCTGTTTAAGTATATTGATCGAATCAATATTTTTAGAATAAAAATCACATATTTTATTATTTATTTATATTATTTCCACCAGACATATGCACATGTTAAAAAATTATAAAATTAACGAAGATTTTTCCACACAAGATTATTGATATGCTGTGTCATTGTTCAAAAATATAGGCACCAATAATCGAGTTTAATTATATTTCTTGATACTTTTGCAGATGTAAAAGATAAGAATATATCTCAGAACATATCATTAGCCGAACTCGGCATGGACTCAATGATGACCGTAGAGATTAAACAAACATTAGAACGTGAATACGATATCTTCCTCACCATGCAAGACATCCGCAATCTGAACTTTACTAAATTGGCGGAGATACGCGATGTGGATTTGAAACGACAGAAAGCACTGAATCCAGAGGCCCATGAACAAACAATCGAATTATCTGGCATACAATTGTTGCTTCAGATTTCGTACAACGTAAATTTGCCTACTGAGACCTGTATGGAATTACAAACTAGGATGGATCCGCGCAAAATAAAAGTGTTCCTCTTGCCGGGTATACAGGGTTACGGACAGATATTTAATCCACTAGCATCAAAGATCAGACCTTTCGCAACGGTTTTGCAATATGGATTAGTGAATACTATGTCTATACCAGAATACGCCGATCATCTTTTACCAGTACGTATACGCGAAGAATGTAAATTATAAATAAAATGAGATATTCATTCAATATTTCCTTTTTACGAATTCTTTTCGAAAGATATTTGCCTATGCAGACTGACACACGTTTCATTGGAATTTTCAGTATGTCTTGCCAAAGGCGCAAGAGCAAAGAGGTTTTGCCATAGTCGGATATTCGTATGGTTCGGTAATTGCTCTTGAATTAGTGAAACGATTGGAAAAACATGGTTTAAGCGGTCGAGTAGTGCTGATTGACGGTGCTCCTGAGCTATTGAAAACGATATTAGACCAATATCTTCCAGCTACTACAGAAGAAGAATTTCAAAATAATTTCTTGCTTTCTATCATGGATACTGTACAATCAGCCTCAAGCGAAAAGGTAGATTTTACTAACGGTTACTAAAATACTATTTGATCGTCACGATCTTTTTGTTGTCAATGTCCTGTTTATTTTTTTTTTGCAGCTACTTTTAGATCTTGAGAAATGTACAACCTGGGAAGAAAAATTAAATGTTTCCTTTTCGCATATGCCTGACAAAATATTGCTTACCGAAACTCACAAAGCCTTGTATAAAAATATTTATATGCACGTTCTCGCTTTGCGAAAGTATGACTGGTCATCCTTGGGATGGATACGATCGCCTATAACACTTTTGAAACCCACGAAACTAATTGTCGATATAATTGAAGAAGATTATGGCTTACACAAAGTAATATGTCTCTGTGTACTTTTTACAAACATTCGATTTTAATTTTTCATAATGATGCCTAATAACAGCAATAAAACTTTTCAGATCACGCGAGACAAGGTGAATGTATTTTATGTTGAAGGCAACCATACAACGATATTGGATAGTGACAAGGTCATAGCTGCGATCAATGCAGAACCGTTGCAGGATCCTAAAGAATTCAGGAAACTTTTAATAGAAGATAGACCATTCGAAGACACAGAACGTACAGCTTGAAAGTTTGTAATGTATTTAACTTAAAAGAAAAAAAAATATATATATGTATGTACTTTTTGCCAAGTTTAAGCTGTAAATACAATTTGGATTTGCCAATATTCGAATATTCCAATAATTAATTCATCGAATTAACCATTACTCAAATTCGGAATTATTTTAATCATTGATCTAAAGTATCTACAGCCAATTCTACACACATTTTAAAATTAATTTGGATTTATTTCCTCTCCCCTCCTCCCTTATTTTAAGAAATAGATTAAGAAATAAATAATTGCAAAATTAGGTAATTATTCGGATTAATGGACATCGCGCCGATGACCTCGACCTTGACATATGTTATCATGACCTGAGTGCCTTTCAAAAGAAATCTCCCTTCGCATGGAAAGTCGTATGCCCGTCAGTACAATATAGAAATAAGATATTTTTTAAACTTTATTTGTTAATAACTTTTGAACGAACAGTGACCGCTACTTAAAATCTTTCGAAGTCATCAAAAATCTTTTGAGAGTCATCACAATATATGTCAAGGTCAAGGTTATTAGCGTAGGGTGTCCATTAATCCGAATAATTATCAAAAATTAATATGTAAAACTTAATTGAAGTTATGTACAACAAAAGTGTAATTAAAATAGAAAAAAATATTGTATATTATTTTTTTTGTTTCAAAGATATTCGAGTTTTGCTAAGTTAACTCGAATTTATTTAATTATTTCTATTTATTTATATAATTTTAAAAAGAACATTTAAAAAAACACGACGAAAGATATCACTATAAAAAAAGGTTATTTTTTAATTTAAGCTTGCATTAAAAAATATATAATTATGTTTATTTTTCTTATTCGTTAAGATTTTTAATATGTATTTATTTTCACTATGATTATAAAACATATATAATGTACAAAAAAATCTTTATATGCGTACGTATGTATAAAGTTGCATAAAATTTCAATTTTGGTTTATTGTGTTTTGCATTTAATTTTCTATCGAATTTTTTTGTAGATTAAATTCAAATTTTCAAATGTAATTCTTTGGATATTAAAATTTAGATATGGCTCATTCAAATATTTGAGTAAAAATAGATAATAATTAGTTTGGATAATTCAGATTATATTTATCAGATATTTATAATCCTAATTTGGATGTACTTAAAATTGGCGAATATCTGTAGGCGATATAATTTTTTTGCAGAATAAAATTATTGTTACAAAGTTGACACAAAATTAAACTTAAAAAATAAACAAATTTATATAAAGTTTACTAATGTAATCGCCTCTTCAATTAATTTCTGAAATTTCTAATTTTGAATCTTTTCTTTTTTTTCTCGAGGAATACAATAAGTAGACTCTGTGTTACTAAATATATTTCTTTGGATATTTTTACTGGTCTAATACTACTATAAATTACAAGTCAAATTTTAGCAAAAAATCTAATCCTAATACTTAGTAAACTCATTACCGTTGGCAAAAATTAATCTAAAGCTAACAAACATGTTTTCTCAACGAACAATTAATAATTATCAAAAGTAAGGCATTTATCTAGATTTTGTTTAGAAAGCTTAACTGATAAAATAATTAATAAATGTGAACTTGTGACAATAATTTTCTTATTCTAATATTAGACAAAGGTATTAAAATTCTGGTGCAATTTTATTATCATAATCGTACTTTAATGCAAAACTAATACATACATGTATCATTCTATACCAATCATTCTTAATAAACGCTCATTACATGTTATCATTTATATTATCTCGTTTTATACATGATCATTATCTTTCATTCGCTCAATACTATATGCAAAATACAAACTGAAAAAAATTATTAGTGATATTTAACGAATTTCCTCTAGTCTAAGAATCTTTATTCAGAGTCATCGATTTTTCTTTAAATTAAGATTCTTTTTTTGCATTATTCTCCTATTACTAACATTTGTTGTGTAATAAAAGTCAATGTATGGTTATAAAAGACAAAATGCAAAGATATTTTTATTTTAATTATGTTACTAGAAAAAAACCGAAAAATTTTCGAATAAAGAAAATGCTCGGATCTAATATATATATCTCATCATAATAATTTTTTTCATATATTAATTACATAAATGATATAAATAAGAAATTATAACAAAATAATATACAAGAATACATATAATGAAAGAGGTACCACCATATTTAAGGCTCTTGAGTCACTATAGCCATATAGAATCGTGATGTCAAAAGCAAGAAATGACATGTTAATTTTATGCCATTTGTAAATAAAGATGATTTGGATAAAACGAAATGCTGAGATTGCTTTAAAACAATTGTAAAAATAGACGAAAGCTATCCTTATCCCTCCTGATAGTCAGTAAATAATCGTAAAAAGTGAAGGCACATGTGAAAGTGCTTTTACTCAATATACACACATAGTCTATTTTCACCTTCATGTGTATTTTATTACTTTTTACGATTATTTATTGAGTGTTGGGGAGGGGGGGATAAGCATAGCACAGCTTTCTTTCATTTTTACAATTGTTTTAAAGCGATATCATCATTCCGTTTTATCCAAATTATCTTTATTGACAAATGGCACGTAACAAAAATTAACGTGTCATTTCTGAAGTCACAATTCAATATGACTGTGGTGATTGGTGGTGACTATTCAGGAGCCTTAAATAGTGAAATTATAATAAAGACGTATTAAAATATTGTGAAATGATTATCGAATGAAAATAATATATTATATTAGAGATGTGTTTCAAACTCACACAGATGAATCACTCAAATGATTATTATACAGTAGGAGAAACCGTGAAACACATTTTATCCCTTATCCTAATCTAGTTTACATTTTGCAGATTACTGAAAGCTTTTTCCAATTCAAAGTACAATAATTATACTTTTTCGTTTTCAACGTATTTGAAGATAAAATATGCAGTACTAACCAAAGATTTTCATAACTCCATTGGCTCGAATGCTGATCTAGCACTGGATAATATGTTATTTAGATCGGGAATAGTAACATTATTGTTATTATTATTGTCGTCGGATGTATTCGGGATTGGCGTTGGAGTATCTCTCGTTGGTAGGATACGAAGATGTCTATTTGGTGGTTCCCAAAGAACCAGAGCCATAGAAGGTCTCTCTCTATAAGAGAAAAAAAATAAACAAGGTTTAGAAAACAGTACATTTTTTTCTTTTCAGTGTTCTCTCTCTCTCTCTCTCTCATTCATACATTCTTTTTCAAAAAGCGTTGTATTTTTATTAAATCATATATAACCAGTGTATACTTACAATTTAGATATAAGAGTCGATGGCAGAATAGGTTCCTCTTGCATTCGCTTGAGTTCCTCTGAAAGGACCAATCTTGGATGTAAATTGCTTGTTTGTTCGGTATTTAATGCATTTGTTGCATCGACATCCAAATCCATATCTAATGGCTTATAACAGGAAGATGACGCATGAACGGTAGAAGTCGATGGCACTGGATTCTCGGATTCATAATTAGAACTAATGTGCAGATCTTTAAAATGTGCAGCTATTTTTTCTTCTGTTATAAACTGCTTTGTTTGACGCCTATTTGAATAACATGTTTTATTAACAATCAATTTTAATAACAATTAAGATTTTGCTACATAATTAATCAGTAGACGACATACATAAGTGCATTACACTCACGTATCTACATCTGGTGCTTCTAATTTTCTTTTCTGATGAAGTATTGGTCCAGAGCTGGTCTCTCCAGTAAATCTAACCAATTCTGATTGATGTAACGCTGGTACACTCCAGGGAATAGTTATTGGTGGTACTTGAGGCATTTGCATCCATGGTCCAATTTGCTGTAGATTCTGTTGCTGCTGTAGATTCTGTTGGTTCATCATCTGTTGTAAGATGGACTGTGGTGTATATAAGTGAGCTCCACCCATGGTATTCTGAAAAATAAACATATAAATAAAAAAACGTTGTCGTACAAGAATATAGAATTATTTTTAGAATATTATATACAGCAAATCTAGTTATTTGCATGTTTTTTTAAGATTGCTTTTTTTTTGAAGATTCAAAGTTGTTAAAAGTAACAATCCTAATTTGGACTACTCTGCATTATGTATATATTATATATACTGATGCATATTAAAATTATATATAACACTATATTAATTAATGATAAAAATATAATAAATATCCTATTATATTTAAGATATAATAATACCCTATTTAACAATATAAGTAATATTCTAGACAATCAAATTATAAATCAGTAAAATGTCTTTTTTTTTAACCGACACAGAATAGTGCATAGTACTTATACTATGTTTTTACACACACATACATTTTATCTATCCTTTGTAAAATATTAAAATAGAGTCAGTATATATTTATTAAAATAAATTATAAAATCAGTATATTACTGTCATCTCAAATTTGCCAAAATGAAGTGAAGTCACTAAAGTCAATAAAGTATATTATGTCACAAACCAGAGTCTACAATAAAATTTTAAGGCGTAAAATAAGCTTTAAACTTTAAGCTTTAAACTTTAAGCCACAACAAATTGATCAAATATAGTCTAATATAAGGAGAATGATTAGCTATGATTGGTCAATTTCTTATGGTTTAAAGCTTAAAACTTAAGTTTTTACGCCTTAAAATCTCATTGTAGACTCTACTTAAGACAAGACTTTGGGTCTGTTTTTTTGTAGCTGAATTAGTGTACACTTTTGAAATTTAAAGTGAGATAGGTATATGTTTAATATTTGGCGAAAGCGAGAAAGAGAATTCTAGTGCAAGTCTAGTGCAAAAATAAAAAAAACAAATATTATAATTTCAAGATCAAGTGGTAATTTGTGTATAGTAAAGAGCATAAACATGCATTGTATAAAATTTACAAGAATTATCAGACTTAAAATGATTAAAAATATTAATAATTAATAATTATTTACTCTTTAGTCAAGTATTATTTCACTTACTGTCATTTGCAATGTATTTGACTGTACGCGTTTAGAAAAGAATTTCGTGGATCCAGGATACCGCTCGGCCACCTGCAGAAATGTTTTGTGTGTGTGTGTGTACGTGTGGGTGTGTGTATGTGTGGGTGTGTATGTGTGGGTGCGTGTATGTGTGGGTGTGTGTATGTGTGGGTGCGTGTATGTGTGGGTGCGTGTATGTGTGGGTGTGTGTATGTGTGGGTGTGTGTATGTGTGGGTGTGTGTATGTGTGGGTGTATGTGTATGCGTGGCGCGTGACGTCTGTTCTTTATTTATAGAACTCCAAGGTAAATAAACATTATGTTAAAACGATTATAAATCCCCTAATTGGTTAGACGCTAACCTACACGTCTCAGATCACAAGCGAGCGTCGCATTTGTTGGTGTGTCGTAATCGTACTCATAATACGTCAGTATTACCGGTATATATTATTATTTACCGAATTTAACGACCCATTTCTTGTCTCTATAATCGCCACGCCATGAACTACGAGAATTCAAAACTCCGAAAATTCGCGACGTTTCACAAACTTCAACTTCACTACTCGATCTATTTCCCCTGATACCCCCGTCACTCCGTGTCGTAATCATGGTTGCCTGATCCCGAGCACTGTACAGCTGGGGCCCGAAAGTCCGTGCGCTGGAGATTTCATATTTCAACTGGAAACCGACCGATTGTTTCATTAAAAAAAAAAAAAAAAGAAAAAGGCGCAGGGTTTAATTCGTGTTTTGCGACCACTGTTATAGACTTTCTTTTTGTTATTAATATTTGACCAACATAAAGTGTCAAACATAATGACAGAGACCTTTTTATTATTAGATATTACAAGATTACAGTGCGAACACAATTACAAACTTTTTTATTATATTCATAAAATAACATAAACTGTGCGAACATAATCACATACTTTCTTATTACTTTCTACGTAATTTAAATATTGCACTATACAGCGAAAAACTAGAGATTTTTCCCATCTGCTGG